TCATCTATATATATAAAGAGAGTGCAATATTAAAAAAGTCGAGCTAATTACAAATACACGTATAGTACAGCATATGTAAGGCACGATTTGCGAAAATATCGCAAAATGCAAGGGGCTATATGTAAAGTTTCATATCGTGATATATATATATATATATATATAACTCGGTTTTCTGTACATTTGTATCGGTTTCTTCATGTTTTCGACTTTGTGCCTCCGAATGTTCTAAATTGTTTTCGATCTCTTGAACGAATCTCCAAGATTGTGTCCTTAGAAAAGGAAACGGATAGTGATATATATTTTTTTGCAAAACGAAATACATAAACTGGTTTTATACAACGCAGTTCTGTGTTGATCCAACAATAGAAGAAATTGAAATTTGCAGATTTTTTTTTCCATGCACTTTGCGAAATGACCATTTTACCCTCAAAAAAATGGCAGGTGGGCCCAAATTGCAGCTCAACTGCCAGGCAGAACAGACAATGAGATAAAAAACTTTTGGAACTCAAGCCTCAAGAAGAAACTCATCAAACAAGGGATTGATCCCAACACTCACAAGCCCATAACCGAAATCGAGACACGATTTCATCAGCCTAAAGGGCTTCCGAATTTAGCTACACCCTCGCAAGTCGAGCAGCAAATAACTTACGACCCTCTTTACTTACCCGAATTTCAAGCCAATGTCGAAAACGAGCATTATTACCAATCAAGGGGCGTTTTCGTCAATAACTTGTCAAATTTCGATCACAACAGCATGATGGTGGAATCCAGCTCGACCAGGGCCCACGTGGATGTCAGCAACATGGTCGAAAACGGCGGCATTATGTCGTGGGAAAATAAGTTCGACCCGTTTTTTCGGTTTGAGGTTGAAGAAAAGAGGCCAAGTACATTGTGGCAAGAAGGGACTCAATCTCAAAGGTTTTATGATCAAGAGAGCTCAGGGGGTGTTTTTGGTAATTACACATTGGCAGCATTTTCTCAGGGGCTGCCAGGGGTAAATTTGGATGTGTACAATCCAATATAAGCAGTATGTGTATATGCAACATACAGTTTGTGTATTTTAAAATCTATTGTTCAAATGTGTTTATTGTGTTTGGGTTGAGGATTGGTGAATAATTGTTTGATTGAGTTGTTAGAAGATAAAGGAATTGATTGGATTTTTGTGTTGGTCTAGTTAATTATGGCATGAGAGGAAAATAATGATGTTATAAACAAAGTTTGTTTTTTATATATGTGCCTTATAAGTCTCATATTCAGATTCAATTGTGTCATAATTAGTTATTTCCCCCAAAAAATTCAGAATGACATATTTGAGACCAAATGCATGTCATTTTGAAATGTAGGTAAGATTAGGATTTAGGCACAACATGTAATTGAAGAAAAATATAGATAGGCAATGGAAATCTAATGTTTTCGTGGGATTTAAGCAAGGCAAGATTGATATTTTCAACAATATAACAAAATTAGAATTAGAAGCTATGATCAAGAAAAAAAAAATGAAAAAGGGCATGACTTCAAGAATGTGGCATGCATAATGCTGCTATATTAAAATCAACCTGGCTCAGCTCGTTAAGGCTCGAGTTCAGCTCGAGCTCGAAGCTTAACAAGCCGAGCTCGAGCTCCTTTAAAGCTCGTTTAATTAACAGTAGTTTGGCTTGATAAGACTCGGAAAGATAATTATTATATAATTTTCTATTGTTTGGATTATTAAAACTCGAGATCGGCTTGTTAATAGTAAACGAGCCAAACTCGAGCTCGATTTCTAGCTCATTAAGGGCTCGAGCTCGAGCTTGAGCATCCTAAGCTCGAGTTCAGCTCGGCTCGTTTATAGTCCTAGACATGCATAATGTTATTCAATTTTTCCAAGAAATATCTTGGTAATCAATATGTTATTAATTGATGTGTAACCTATAGAAAATGGGTTTGATCTTTGATGTTGTCGAGAATCGTTTGAAGGATGTTCGTCTGCAGAACTCAAAACAAACGTCAGTTTTTGCGTTTAGGTTCGGAATAGCTATATCCATGTAACTAAATAGTTTTGAACCCAAATTCCATCATTTGCAACATGTTTTAGCCGTTTTATAGTTTTTTGTCTTCCATATTTTGTTTCTTAATTTGTTCCTATTTCGTGTAGGGTTTGAAGCCGACATTGATATACGCGTCTAAAGTCTAAACCTTATTTTGAGAATAGTCCAAACTTCATATTCAGTTTTATAATAATAATACATTTTATAATCTTCTAGTTTTTATCATGTCATATTATTAATGGATGGAAATATATACTTCAATTATCCATTAATTTCTGACACTATATTAATGCCTATATGAAAAATCAAGCTGTTTACATCAACCAATTTTCTCACTGTTAATTATTAATGATAAATATCATATTTCAATGACTTTATGACAATAAATTATGAAACTTAAATGCACCATGTAAAATAAGCAATTTTGGTTATATACGGGACATGGACCATTAAGATCAAGTTGAACCCGATGGACTTGTTCACATCAAATTGTGTACGCTCCTCCAGGACCAAAGTACAATATTAATTTAATAATTTCTACATCGTTATTATTCCATTTATATATATGGAAACTAATTTTTGTAGCTCATAACAAAAGCTACATGCATGCTACATTAGAAAAATGTGAAGTGCATATTAAAAATATAGACATATATACTGCAAAAGGCAAATGTCAAAAGTTTTGTGGGACATATTATTTTATTGAATATAAATCACAATTGTCTACCTAAAATGAAAATAGCCCTTTTCAAAATGAGGAGCATTTGGGTTGACAATGCAAATTACGTGAAAAATTTTGAAAAGTGACAATTTGGTGCATAAAAGTAGTTTTATTGAAGTCTAATTGATTGATAGTAAACTTGTAATTTTTAAATTGATCAATTCAAGACCAATGTTGGCCGAAATCCAAATTGACAAGAAATTTAATGAGACACATACGCATGACGAAGGACAGACAAGAATCTGAATGTTGACAACAGTCAATTTTTAGGTGAAATTCAAATTTCTGATCAGTCAAAAGTGTTCTTCTAAGTTGGCCAATTTTAAATATTTCGAAACTAGTATTGATTAACTGGATTCGAACGAGACTAATTGGGTGATTGTCTTAGAATATTTTCTTAGCTAGTTTGTCTTGCAATTGAGCTTTGTAGGATCCCAAAATCAAAGCAACCAAAGATGTTGAAGTGTGGTGTTAGAAACAACACTATTTAATTAAAATCGTCTCAATTCAATGGAAAAGCCTCATCTGCAATTACACAACATAAAGATTCCCATCCAAAACATCCAACTTCGTTAGATAGAGAAAAAACCATTTCATTTCAAGTCATAATATGTCTATCAAGTACCAACCACGAGTTTTCAGAGCCAACAAAGTGGTTTCAGTTTAGCAAAGAAACTAAGACAAGAGACTGCAAAGTAAAACCGAACGAGAAAATAGCAAGTCGGGTTTATCATTCAGAGCTTTGCTATAAGAAGAGGTGAAGCAGGCTTAGGCACCTCAGTTTCTTTTGACTCGTTTTCTTTTGCATCCATTTCACAAGAGTTTGGTGGAACATCAACGGCTGGACAACAGTTGAAGAAGCCGTGAGGCTGCACCACACGAGTAAAAGCAACAAACAGAGTTCAGTATATGCCAGATTCAAGATTATTACTTCGAACCAAGTTTTACCTGAAGCACAAAACCAATGTGTTCTACGGGCATAACAGGCCAGTCTTCTAGTCGAGGAACATGTGTAATTCCAAAAACATACCTGTACAATAAAAACCAACTTATTTCATTTCAGTACTTTGGCTCATTTAAACATTCACAACAGAAAAAAATCACATGAACCATGAAAGTTTAGAGTTTCTTGATAGTCGTATAGTATTAAACTGAGAATTGGTACAAGTAACCATATCCTTTTTGTGTACTTCAAGTATAGATTGCATATCTCTAAAACCGGAGAGCAAAAGATGATCAACGAATAAAAATTTGCATCGCCCATAGGCCTATTATAAATTCCTGTCTTGGGTTCATATATTCAAACAGCACATGAAAAGTACTAAGACTTTGTTTGTTTATAAAATAACACAAAAAGAATCCAAAATCTGACCTCAAAATTTAACTCAACTTTAATTCAACCTCACTATCCTCAATATTTTCAAAATAATTAATTAAAATCAATCAATCATCCTTAGACATCACATCAACTTTAACTCACTATTCCTCTACTCACATAATTTCAACTACCTAGCACTTCCAATCATCTATCTCTTAATCATTTTTAAATATTATTTTAATACAAACCTAAAATCCCACCAAATACTAATCACACTAACTTTTTCAAAATTAACCCTAGTTAACAAAAAAAACGATCAAATACCAATATATTTATAAACAATCACACCCTAAATATTTTTGAAAAGGCAACTTGACAACTAACCATAGAACTATATCAGACTCTTCCAAAGACCGATTCTTCTTCACCCAAGAAGCCAATCCTTCCCCGACACGTGGATTCTGATTTGGAAACTCTCCTCCGGGAAAATCTTCTCCACGTGCATATTGTGTAACCCACAGATTATGCTTCAGAAATGCAGCCCTCCTTAGGAACTTAGCCTCGGGACCTGCCAACGGCAAACAGTTAGACCCAGGCACCAATTTGTAGCCTGTCAGCTGACCACTCCGATTGACAGTCCTAGTGTTCCTTATCTGCAAAAATAAATGGAACGATTGTAGTATATAAATGAGATTAGTATATAAATGAGATGTAAAACTTAGATGAACATGCCAAAAATTCTGCAAAGCAGTGTAAATTACCAGCAAAATAGATGAAGACACTTGCTCTTTTTAACAATAATTTGCTAGAGGAAAAGATGGGGAATATAGCCACAATATTAAAAGATAGAGATCTCAGACTCTAAAATGTGCTCTTAACTGTGAAGTGTAATTGAGTTATGGCGGATAATGTAATGTTGCGTTTTCATAATGAAAAATAAAAATCAGACAATGAGATGAATAAGGAGGCATACAATCCAGTGACGGGCTGACAACGGATCACAATCACGCATGGCTTCTGATTCGGATCTAAGTAGAGTTTCCTCAGCATAGAAAGCATTATTGTGAACATTGTCCTTTCCAGGTTCTTCGACTCTGACATTCACTTCAACAACCTATATAACAGGAATCGTTTCAAAAGTTAAAAAATAAATAAATAAATAAATAAATAATAATAATAATAATAATAATAATAATAATAATAATAATAATAATAATAATAATAATAATAATAATAATAATTTATCTAGGAATGTGGAAGCATCACAATCGATATTGTTTCTATCATGCTGAAGTTAAAAACAAGCGATAGATTAAAAATTACATATATATGTCCCAAGCACCTGATTATGCATTTCTCCGGGTTTACAGTCCACCGACATATCCATTCGAGCAACAAAAAAATGCTGATGAACGGGAGCATAAAGTCCTGGTGCAATTGTTGTACCATACTTCCTAGATTCTCCAGGTTGCAGAGCCCCTAAACTAAGAATTCCGGTAAGTTTAACTTCTGCTTCAATTTTCCCATCCTGCACCCAACATCAACCAATCTTAAATTTAGGACGACAAAACAAACCATCCCGAAGCTTTCCTCAAATTAACCACATCACGAACATCAGTTTAACTGTTGAGTCCGATAAAATAAAACAATAGTCAAAAACACCCCAAGTTATGAAAAACTTTTAACTGTCAGCATAGGTAACTGGTAAAAGTCCATCACAATCAGTTGCTTTCGGTGGTTCTTGACTATTTCCACTAAAGATTTTAGTAATGTTCTAGTAGAAGGACAACGTTATACCACTTGCCTGATAAAAGTACCAGTAGAATCCATATTCGTAATTAGCCACGGTGCAGATAAAAGAAACAGTTAGACGCCTTGACCTTCGCACTTCAGCGTGGCCAGTTCTCCAATCCTGATGCTTCCACAAGATTCCATAATCTTCTTCGTGCAAGCATACACAGTTTTCAATAGTTTCAACTCCTCCAGTGAAGTTAGTAAAATGAGCATCAAAATATTTTATATATCCCAGACAGTCGCATCCCTGATGTGAAAAAAGTGAATTAGAGCCACTTGTTTCTTCGACTGAGAGATAAAAGCGTAATAAAATTAAATTAAAAGGAGGTGATTGCTACCTTCTTAAGCGAATGAGCATTCTTCCCCAAACCGTCTTCCCCGGCATCAAATGCATTTTTTCTGTAATGGGGATCATTAGGGTCCCCATATGGAACAACCATCTCCACAAAACTCAACCTATGGGCTATCGGTCTCCTACCCCGACTACCGTCAACATACGCAACAGAATGAATGACCAAACCCTCTCTCGGGGTGAAACCAATACGAAAATTCCACTGAAATCAATGTTTCCAAAAAATTGCTTCCAATATCGAGTAAAGAAATACATATATATACATATGTGTGTGTGTGTGTGTGTAAACTGTTAAGTAAAATTAGAGAAAAAATACCTTCTGCCATTCAATATATTGTCCATTGACTCGGAAGCTTGGACCTTCAGGCTGTATAATCTGAAGGGGTTTCACATCACTTCTATCAACCCCTCCCCTTGTCTCACCAGAAGTATAATTTCTAAGTGGATCAGCTGGAGGTAAAGGGACAAGCTTACGATCTTCAAATTCAATAACCACCATATTCTGCATGTCAACAAGCACATGAATTCCTTCAACTGGTCGAGCATAACCATTTTCCAGGGGGCAGTCACTCTCGGTCCGGCAAAATATAAGTGGTTTTGCTAGCCTATTGCTGGGAGCATCAGCCTCACTGTGGTAACCAACACACCTGAAGGAGTATTCAACACCAACTAGACCATTAATAGTTTGTATAGTTAAACAAGGTTAAGTTCGGAGCACATTATCGTCTACTGACCAAGGATCAACCATGACCAAATCCATATCGTCAATACCCCTTTTCCTCATTGCCTCTATAAATGGAGGGTAATCTTTGACAACAGCTTCACATTCAGCATATTCTGTAGCATCCTGCCATTAGAAACCAAAAGATGTTTAGGAATTCAATGTGCCACAGACAACAAAACCAGAAGTGTGATCCATAAACCCAAACCACAATGACCATAAGTCTTAAGAGAGGGTAAGGCACATGAAATATCAAGCATAATATCAAGCAATCTGACTACCTCTAACACATGCTTACATACTGCCTTGTGGATTTCTGTACAACATCAGTCATTAGTAAATCACAATCCAAGACATAGTAGAACATTTTACCAATCGAGGGTCAGAATAGTTCTTTTATCACGTTTACCAAATACTAATAGTCAGCATCAGAATTACCTTGGTGAAGAAAAATAAGAAACAGTAATACCAAATTACCTCCCTCTTATCAACTAGCATCAGGGTCAACTACAAACTTCCATTGACAACGCTAATATTGCTTCTATATTACAAATTGTAACTCATGAGGATGGTAATTGCAACAGTAACAAAAACCTAAGAGGTAACTATATGAAGACTGCAATTGTGTTTTTTACGCAAATAAGGTAAACCTAAAAGGCATATTTACGTTACAACCATAATATGTATATAAAGTTTTCAACCCTTCTATTGATGTCTGCCTATAAAACTAAAATTAATCAAGCCAGTGAAGTAACCAAATAAACAAATAATATAGTTCAATATAGCTCAGGTACCATCGGAGGCTGAACATCAGGGATGATTGTAGAGGAAATGACTTTTCCTCGATGGTGTCCACTTCGAGTTGTTGCATGCACTTCTGTCAACTCCACAATCCACATGCTAGTCTCATTGGACTTCTTATTGTAAACAACTAGTCTGGCTCGTCTTGGTGGGAGCTTGCTAGGAATTGCAGGCCCCCCTTTAGTTCTAAGCAACAATGACGGTTGGAAAGGGGGAAAGAAGTAAGCATCTGCAAGTGCTACAACATGTTTATCTGGTTCCAACAGAACAACTTCGATAAACCTCATACTATCTCTGACCTGAAAAAAGAGGAAAAGGTCAGTGATGAGACTGAAAATACAATGGCATTTCCCGAGTAACTTAATCAATTCGTAAGACATTGGGCACCTCAGGAGTAGCTCCAGCTGCTCTAACAGTTCCCACAGCCACAGAGATTTCAGTAGCTGATAAAGGATCCAAAGGATGTTTAGTTTGAGCCCTTGTCATGATCTGGATCCCTGAATAAGCAAAGCATCACACACAACCAAAATCTAATATATTTTCCCCGTAAATAAATTTGGCACCCATTGTTCATGAATTCAATATCGGATAAAATTAATGATTTTATGCGTCATAGTTACAGTTTATGAAGTTAAAACCTAAACCTGACATGTTTTTGGCCCAATGACGGTAACAGTATTTCTTCCACACATGATGACATGAATATTAGGCATGAGATAAAATACTTCCAGGGGACTCTCAAAAAATGCCTACAGGCAGAGTCCAGTTTATATTTAAGTGTAACCAGAATCACAAAACTTCCACTAACAATTATTCAAGAGATGTAATGCACATATTTAATTGTTTGATAAAGAAACTAATAAATATAAATTTCGTTACTTTTTTTTGACTAAATCATCTTTCTTCTGCAAGTCCTCATCTAAGCCAATTATTAGAAAGAACAGTCTGTTTCTAAAGCTAACTTGACGAATATCATAGGCATAATCTGTTTAATCAAGGGTAGAAAAAAAAACAACACACTATATTCCATAAAACATAAAGTTCGATTTTTTTGGCAAGATCATCTTTCTTTTGCACATCTGTTTCTAATGCCCAATCGACAAATAGCAGAGGCATAATATGTTTAAATTTAGGGTAGAAAGAAGAAAAAAAAAATACCTTGAGATCATCCATAAAACAGAGGACAAGAGAATAACACAAAACAACAAAAAAAAAATAAAGAATAAACAGACACAGCCAAAAGACCGACCAATCAGATTAATAGCTTCAACTGGACCACCACCTCATATCATGACCAAAAACAAGTAATCAAAATTTTAATCAATGCCCATCACATGCATGTATGCCAGCACAGACACCAAAAAAGCAGGGTACGCCTACATAAAAAGCTAAAAGCAGAGTTACCTTTACTGGAGGCACTAGAAGAAAGCTCAGGTCCAATCAAGGACGACACGACGGCGGCAGCTCTCTTGCTCGGATTCTCTTCCGCGGAGGCGGTGGCGGCAGCCACCTTCCAATCAGCAGCGGGGGCGGCCGACGCCGACTCTCGACGGACTACGGCGGCTGAATTGGCGCAGCAATTGGCCGTGTTCGGAGCAGGAAGCGTCGCCTTTTTCTGAGTTGTGGCCATTGTAGCTGATTCCCGAGCACACCGTATCCACCGTAATACGCGACGCGATCTACTGACATACAGCAAAAGCACTCGGACTCCCTCACTCCGCCGCCACCCACAACACCACCGCCGCCGCCGCCACCGCCGCCACAGTACGTTGAAACAGATTGGCGCAGCTGTAGATCCTCCGATGCAAAAAGGCAGTGAGAAAATGAAGGGGCTTGCTAGGTTTTCCGCTCCGATCGGCTACGCGATCTATCTGTGTATGAGTTCTTATCAGTGATAAGAGAGTTTCCTAAAGGGGGAGAAGTTTTTATTTTTGGGAAAATAAAATTGTTTTTTAATTTTTTCTGTATTGAGAAAATAAATTATTTCGTTTTTAATTTAAAAAAAAATGTTGGGTGAGACCAAATAAGATAACTACTAAAGTTGAGGAGTGTTTGGTATAAAATATAAATGACTCGCTTATCAATATCAATATTTGATGAGTCGAATTATAAAAATTATATAAAAAAAATATATTTTTTAAAGTCTTACAAACTTGAGCTCTGTTCGTTTACAAAACGAGCATAGTCGAACCCGACGAATTTTGAACCAAATTCGTCATATTTCGCTATAAAAGCTATAGAGAGTGATTGGAAAAGCTTGTGGCCATTAAAACTAGAATTTGCATGCTAAAACCAATCTTTCATTCTTTTGCAATGATTTTAGGCATTTAGGTGATACTTATTTTAGAACCTACACCTAATTCCATGCATCATGATTACATCATCATCATTAACATTATACTATTAGAATATTTTGGGGTTAACTGAGTGATAATTTCATATTAATTAGGGTTTAAAAGTTGGAGAAATTTACACCACATACTATCATATAAATTTTATATTACATATTTACATTCAATTAATATTTATTTACAAAGACACAAAATTACCCCAACATATTTACACATATACCAAATTTTATAAGTTATTAATTATAATTTAAATATGGAATTGAATCAATTATTGATTAATTGAGATAATTAATACCTTTTTCTTTTCTTTTTCCCTTTTTTTTTTCTTCTCCGTTTTCTTCTGCAACATCCTCCACGGCCGCTACCTCTCTCCACGGCCCTCCCCATTTCACCATCCTCGCACAAGGTGACCGCATCTTACCAAAAATTTGAGTTTTTGTTATATTCCAACATAATCAGGAATGCTGCTTTTGAGTTTTTTTTGTTATCAACTCACCCAAAATTGTCTAATCATGTTTCTCGTGAGCACCTACCGTCTTTGCTTTCTGAATTGGCCTTTGCTATTTCCAATAGAACCCACAAAAACTGTATACTTATTGGCCGTCACCTATACATGCAGAAGCATTTATTGATTGTATGTGAATTGCTCAAAGCAAACCTATACGAATTCCATAAATTCAATAGAGAATCTGAGGGAGTTTTGCCCAATATCGGCCATTTCTTTATCCAGATTAGCCATGTTGTACACGATTTTCAATCTCGTGGATCCTGCGGTAATCGATCTTGTTCTTGAGGAACTTTCAGAAGGTAATGGTCTCCGACGGCGTTTTCGCAAGGGTTTGGGGTCGAGCCGTCACCAGCAAAATCCTGGGCGAGCCATTGATTCAGGAAAATTGAATTTTGTTTCGATTTTTTAGGGATATTGGACTGTGTTCAGATTATATTAGACTTTGGATTATAGTATATGTGCAGTATATCTATGATATATGTAAATTGTATGATCACAGCAGCATTTGTTCAATATATTAAAAGATTTTTTTGTACACTGTTCAGTATATTTCATGTATTAAAAAACGATTTTGATAAAGCATAAATTGATTTTTTTTTCATATATGTATGGTTTATATTCGGTATATTTTCGGTATATGATAAAAAATTCAGTATATTTTCGGTATATGATAAAAAAAATTATCGCGAGACATAATTTTTATGTATAAAATCAATTTATATCTAGCATAAACTGATTGCAATGTATACTGAATATATACTAACATAAACGCAATATATACCACTTGACAACTGCGCGAATTAAGGAATTCCAGTTGCGCACATATACTGAATATATACTAACATAAACTCAATATATACCACCTGACAGCTGCGTGAATTAACGCGCGAATTAAGGAATTAAATTAGTAAGTTATTTATTTTCATTTCTATCTCTTATAAGTCAACGTTTTTTTGTATGGTAACTGAAATCAAGTAAATCTCCAATTAATGCAATAGTTTTAGGTACATATGCAATTAAATTTATAGTAGCTGCAAAATCGCAAATAAATCTAAATATAGTAGGATATATGAAAATTTCCCGTTGAAGTTGTGTCCTATATGAATGTAATCATTAAAGTATAAATTAAAGCCTCATACCATACCAGGCCTAAATGACTCCAAAACCAGTGAGGTTGTGAGCTTTTGTCTTAAATTAATTCTACCAAGTTGCAAGTTCTAACTGAACTTTTATTTTGTACTTTGCATTTATTTGGTAAAGAAGAAGAAGAAGAAGAAAAAAAAAAAAATGATATATTCCGTGTGGATGCGTGCTACATAGAGTTGATTCCAGCATAATAATTAAGCAATATTTTTTCCCAATAAAAATAATGCCAATGGCAGTACCAAAGGACAATTTTATTTTAAATAAATAAATAAACCAACAACAAGAAGAATGATAGCAAGATATTAAAATTTATAATTTTGTGGTATCAACATTATGAAATTAATTAAGTAAGCAGTATTTGATCAATCTTATTGGCATGATTTTGCAAGATAGTATTTGATGAAATATGAGATATATCAATGGCATACAAAAATTAATGTAGGAAGAAATTTCTTAATAGTTGATGTATTAGAATGAGAAAAAAAAAATAGACAAAAAAATGAATTCGTTACATGGATTGCAAAGAGTCCAATGTTTGTCCAAATGTCGATTAAAAATAAAAATCAATTCAATGTTGATTTTGACTTTCACAACATGACACATGCAAGCATTACGCATTAATTCAACGACATGACATGAACGAGTCCTGGGCATATGATAAGTAGATACATTATTGGATCAAATATTAGTTTTACAGGCAGCTTACCAATACATATCAATAGGATGTTGTAATATAGATCAATTATCAAGAAATGATTATTTCAATCTAAGGTGACATTTTCAACGTATTTGTTGTAATGATCAATTGTTTATTGAAGCCACTAATTTGGCAAATCAATATTAACTTCTACATTTTATCCGCTTGTTAAATGAACATGTCTTGATTTAACAATAAAAATCTCCTATGAATGACTTCTGGTAGCCATAGGGTTATTGAATGTGAATAAATATAAATGTGTTGATTCAACAATAAAAATCTCGATGTCTGATTTATGGTAGTTATAAGGTTATTGGATATGAATAAATATGAATTTATATTGATTCTACCCACTTCTAATAGTTATAGGTGAATATGAATGAGTTGATCCAACAATAAAAAAACAATGACTGCGTGATTTATGGTAGTAATAAGGTTATTTGATATGAATAAATATGAATTTATATTGATTCTACCTCATTATATCTTGAATTTATTATAATCTCATGTATAAAATATTGCGTAGAACTAATTGGTTCTAGTTTCATATTACACAGTTTTAACAAACTTACTCATAGTCATCAAGTAAGCAACCAAATTTATAAAAAAATTTCGGTTTTGTTGTAACATTGAAAGAATGTATATAGAACTCCATATAAGAAGCCATACTACATGGACATAATAGATGTTATATGTAAAAACAAATTATTCTTAAAAAATCACACACAGCCACACACATCAAAACACAATCAACATTCAAGGATTCTGCCTCGAGATGTATAGATATAGATTCAGTCTAAGTGTTCAAATATGCAGTTATCAAATCAAATAACATGTCTCAATTTTCTGATTTCTTTCTGATCTTATTTATAATATCATGAGCATACTTAATGAGAAGAGAAAGAATCACAATTCACAAAGCACACATTGATTCAAAACAACATACATCAGACTTATTCCACCCTATAATCTTTATATCCCAATACATAATGCACACATACATCACACATAACTATAATAGGATATAAGATTCATGAAGAGCAGCATAAAAACTAAAACTTTCATAACCTATTGCCACAAAATCAAGTCACTAATTATAGTTTGATTTCAAATTCGTTCACACGATCAACTTAAGGTCTTAATCCTAAAAATCTGCAATGCATAGTGGTAATTATCTATGAATAATATATATCTTACATATCACAAAAAATACAAAAAGGATATAAATGTTCATGAAGGGTAGCATAAAATTAGTGCTTTCATAAGCATTATTATCACAAAATCAAGTCACCAATTATATAGTTTGATCTCAAATTCTTTTACACAAGCATCTTAAGTTCTAGCACTAAAAATCTTCAATACAAAGTGATAATTATCAATGAGTAATATATACCTCACATACTTCATCATTCATACCCAATATCACTCAAACACAGTTCAACTAAAGCACAGCATATAGATCAAATTTTGGCCAAAAATCTACAAATACATTCTAACTGAAACCAAATGAAATCCATCTACACGGATCACAATTATTCTAACAATTATCACTGACACCAATCACTCACATTCTTCCTAAAACACAAGAGATTCTCCAAGGTACTCATACCACACCAAAACATATACATAGAGTAGCAACAGCCAAACAATCACATGAACAAAAATAATTAGGAATGGATATGGATATGAAGATTGATAAATGCACTGTAATTGGAAATACCACAGAGGTATAACTAAAATCAGACCCATTGTCATTCCAAACTTTCATTGAAATATCTAATAAAAGTATCTCAATCCACCTGAGATCCAGAAATAAACAGCAAACCAACTTCGCGAAATTATAAAAAACAAGCAATAAAAACAAAATTAACCTAATCACGCCGTGAGCACAACAGCACCTCCGGCCTCCTTGATCTTCTTCTCGGCGTTCTTAGACACCAGCTTTGCCTTCACCACCACAGGCTTGTCGGCCGGCAGCAGACCCTTACCCAGGACCTTGAAATACCCGAACTGAGTCACGTCGACCAGCGGCGCGTTGTCCTTGGACGCCTTGTCCTTCACCTCCTGCGGCACCATGGACCAAAGGCGGTCGACGTTGATCGTTGGGCAGTGGAACTTGTTCCTCAGCCTGTGGAAGTAGCGCATGCCGACCTTCCCGAAGTAGCCTGGATGGTACTTGTCGAAGAGGATGCGGTGGTGGTGCATGCCTCCGGCGTTGCCGCGGCCACCGGGGTGCTTGCGGTGTTTGCCGATACGACCGTGGCCGGCGCTGACGTGGCCGCGCTTCTTACGATTCTTCTTGAATCGGGTCGTCATTGGTGGG